TTGAGTACTTTAGAGAAGTCCCTAGCAGCAGACTCTCCCATCACAATATGCTTTTTGATTTCCTGGCTGCTGGTGCCAAGAGAGTTGACCATGGAGCCAAGCAAACTGAAGCTGTGAACAATCTCCATCTCTTCGCCATCCATCCTGATGCTGCCAATTAGTCCAGTGGTGAGAATCTTTGTCTTCGTGACATTGAGCCTCAGTCCATACTGAAGGCTGCAGTTTACCAGGGAAATAATTAATATTCCTGTAGTGAAACAATTTGGATCTCTTATTGGAAAAAAAATCAATGTTATACTGTGACTCAATATGTGTAGTTCTGGTGTCTAAATTAAAGCTTGCATTCAACATGCATTTTGACTTTGACTCAGATAATACTGCTGAACTGGAACCATAAGGAGTCACTTCTGCCATCTATTTTGTAGCTCCAACTCTTCTCTAAACAGCAACCAAAAAAAGTTTCTTTGTACTTTTTCCTCATCAACAACCATATATATATTTTGTGTCACTGTTAAAGATAATATTTTACAATTGTTTTGTAAATGATATTTCAAGCAAGCATTGGCAATAAGTGATCCTAAGCCAATGACTTACCGGTGTGAGATACAATAGAGTAAGAAGTGATAGCCTTCTGACAGAGGAGGAACAAAAGACAGTAATTGATGCTGGCTATGGCTAGTATTATTCATCATGTAGTTTGAATTTTGTTCCCCAAAAATACATTTTGTAAATTTTAAACGTTACACTTGTGGATAAAACCCCATTTGGGAATAAGATTTCTTTTTTTTCTGTTATGTCAATGAGATCCTATCACTGTAACAAACCCAATCAAGTTTCCCCCTGTGTTGGTGAAAATATACATAATCAGATAGCATTTCAACAATCTCTACATGCATAGTTCAGTATCATTGATTACATTAAAATTGTGCAACCATTCTTGCCATCTTTCTAGAAATTGTTCTGCTACCATTGACTGAAATACACTGCTTCCTAAACTTCTCACCTAACGTTCAGATTACTATTATCAAGTTAGAGAGCTTGATGGCACAGTCCATAGAGAGCTGTGTTGTTCAGAGGCTGCATCTTTCTGGTGGTTTGAATCCACAAACGGTGGTGTGAGATAAAGATGGACTATATCTCTCTGTGTGATTTACATTCTCAGAAACCCTATGAGGGTTAGCTATGAGACAGTTCCAGCTCTCTACAGCTGGTAGAGAGAAACTATTGTCAATTTTACCTCATCTAGATAATTCAAAAGTGCACAATGCTCAAAGCAGATTTCTCTTTTTAAAGCTTTTTAAAATATAATTTATCATTTGGAATGAAGAGAAGCCCCAAATAAGCAAAGCACTCCTTAAAAATAGAAGAAAGGTAGGAGGTATCTCATTTTCTGATTTCAAATCCTACTACACTGCCGTGGTGGTTAAGACAGCATGGTACTAGTAAAATGAGAGACACATGGATAAATGGAATAGAATTGAGAACCC